TTGAAAATTTCTAATTGTTATTACTAACTCAGAAGATGATATTTACCAAAAAAACTTTTACCAAACAATTTATTTACCAAGAGAAGAATCACTTTTCCGATTTTCTCACTCGTTAGATCTATCTACACCGCTCGACGCTTCAAACCAGACCGAGTTCAGCTTTGAAAATCTTTTCCTCCAGATTTTATGATTATAAACCTCACTATACAGTGCGTGCTAAGTTCGCATACCGATCTTTCTTCTACAAATTTGCCTTATCGCTCTTTTCAAGTGGCGTCTTCGAAGTGCTCGGACCGTCGTGAGCACGCCTCTTACGTTCTCGTCAAAACCCGCTGACATTTCTTGTATATATCTTAGTAATTTTACTATATTTTGATTTGATTTCTTGTGCCATTTCAAGAGAAAACTTCAGGGAAACATGCACGTCTCAAAAAGTTGCGCTGAAATAACTCAATTCCCCGTAATCACTAATAAACTTGAATGTCCCACGAGAGGGGACACCCGAGTGATATGCTAGAATTACGATGTCCCACGAGAGGGGACAGCGGAGTGCAAAGGGTTAAAAAGGTAAGTTCGAAACGCAACCAACGATGTACTATATTACGACCACGAAATGGCCTCGGGCCGAAAACTTTATAACTACATAATTGAGTAATTTATGAAGTTTAAGAAAAATGACGTGCCGAAATGAAATGAACACGTTAAACTTATTATTTATTACTTTAGTGCGTGCAGAATGTGTTGTCGCTGCTCAATAAATCTTGTCTCGATAAAAAACCTTCAGACATTATGACTGTACATTTTAACCTAGTAATCTCTTGATCGTTCCAAATACAAGATTATGCTATACACATCTCTGTCGCCATAAATTAAAGCAAACGCGTGCAATCTTTTCTTCTGCTACAAGCGTAAAACCCAAACATTGTTCGCTTTCGCCATGATTCCGACAATTGCACGATTTTCCCAGCTGTACGGTGAAAAGAATGTGGCTTTCTTTGGCAGCCGGACGGATTTCGGGCCGCGAAAACTCGTGGACACGGGCGGCATTGTGGCCCGGTCCGACGGGACGGACAAAAAACAGGCACGGCTCGAACACAATGGTCCGGGGCTCGCACGAGACACGGTACTTTCAAAGCGAATAATCACTCCGCGACGACTCGAACTTAGTAATGAAATTCTAACAAACGTTCCGCGCCGCGGCGTCATTGCTGAACGGTCGCAATTAAACGTTTCTGGCAAACACCGCGCACCAAGAGGACAGCCTCGTTGCGTCACTTAAAGGCTTGCCACGCTGCTAAGGTCATTTGTATTTGACTGGCGGCAAGTAAGGCCGCGTAATTAACTGGTGGTTTTGCTTGCCGCGAGAAGAACCCACCGATTTCCTCTAACGAGCGACGGATTCTCGGGCCCGACAAGAACTTCGATAAAACGGCTGCCGCATGACTCGAAAACTAGACGGTATTATGCCAAATTTCGACCTTAGACACGGTACAGATCGATTTGAAGAATTGACAAGAATTGCCTGCGAATTACCAGATAAACGACTGATTCAAATGAACGATTTAAATGAAGATATGAATTCTTATTGTTGGGTATGGTGAGCTTATTCTTCTGTCGTTTAGTGGAATTGTCCGAGCAGGTTGATAAAACGATTTTGAATGTTTGCATGCCAGGAGATGTGAAGCATTTTTTTGAACAGTGTTAGACATTGTTGGAATGTGGATTTTATGCATTTATGATAGAAGTGGATGTGCAAAATTTAAAGCAATGGATAGATTAAAAAAAAACGACAAGGTATTAAACGTAGAATGATTAAAAGTTCAATGGTCAAACGAATGCTGAAGCAGAGTCATATTTTATCTGAAACAAAATTTCTTTACGTATGTGAGCCGTTTATTTTGAAAGTGGCATAAGTCACTTTGTTTTTAAGTCGAGATATTTAAGGGTTTGCGTTTTAACACGTTTCAAAATATGGATGCTAACTTTCGAGAAGATTTACTTGTATTTGTTATCTCAGGATACTGATATTTTTCTCGGTATAAATAATTTCGTATAAACATTAAAAAATCACCACTTTTCATTACGGTAAAGTGACTTGAGCCACTTTCAAAATAAATAGTTTAGAAAAATGACTGACATATATTAATTTTGTCCGACGTATTTTACCGAAGTGATATTTCGAAAGGACAGTGATTTACTAAAATTGTTGAATAAATTACATATATAATAATAATTTATACCATGAACATATATTTAATATGAAGGTTTGATTTAAGTATTTTTTATTTTAATATTCATAAAATACAAAAA